TTTGTAAATGATACTTTAATTTTTTTAAATTTACAATACAATCTCCAATGCATACTGTTTACTAGTGCGACAAAAACAGTACCGAATGTTTTACATATTTCTGAAAAACAAATTAATTCAATGAAACTGTTCATTTCGCTTTTCGCTTAAATGTATTGACGATTCAAAAATTTGATGTTATAAATGGAAATAAATGTTGGGGATGTTAGATACCCAGAAGTCACTTGATAAATATCTTTATTGTGAATTTATTTCATGGACCGATCAGCTGACCTTGAGATTACATTTCCCACCAGAAAAAATCTTTGGCTGTGATTGGTTACCGTGTTGTTTTAGTGTGCTGTCTTTCTGACTCTCCCAATGACGTCTGTATAGAGTATAAATAAACGCAATTTGTTTGCTGGCTGGGTGTTTGTAGAATACAATTTCTACACCATATCAAGACTTCTTGTTGATACCTTTTGGTTAAGGGATCACAGTAGCCTACTCTGGTTCATTGTTTTGTTCGCGCCATTCTCCTCAGGTGAACTCGTAATACTTCACGCATACCTAGAGAAGAGCGTAATATTTTGGCGACGGCATTTTGACAAACCGATACTACTGCTCTGTGTTCTGTGTTACGAACGTCAATAACTGAACAATTTACTAAGATATCATTTGTGTTACATTCAACTTAATTCTTGTGTTTGTTGCATTTTCTAAATTACACACATAATTTATCTTTGTAAAATTGATATCATTATCGAAATATTCTCTTTTGTCATTGAAAATTCGAAATGTTCGATTCTTTTATTTGCATGAATTATGTATTTAAAATCTATGTGTAGAAACGAATAATTATTCTGAAACGCTAAGATTCTCAAGTAATACAGTTAATGTTAACTAGAATGCCATACGTATCAAATTCCTTTTAAAGTAGACTAAAATCATTTCAAAGTAATTCTTGTATACAATGGAGGTTTTTTCTTCTGAAGTATACTGTAATTTATACTGTACTTAATTGTTTCAATCATACTAATTGCATTTTAATCGACATAAACTAAACGGAAATGTATATTGATGATCAGTTCTTACCTAATCATAATCATGTTATATTCACAAACGTTAGCTACTTCCTATTAATAGTATGTTAACATACAATGAATTTTACAGATTGTTGAGTTCATTTAACAGTATCTACTAATTTTTTGCGGATTAAAATGTGAAAATGTTCAATTGATTTTCTTGTTCACATTACTTTAAATTTCACGTTATATTATTTTTAACTTTCTAAGTAGTTGTGCGGTGTATATTTTGTGAATATAGTATTTAAATGTGTTGTTAAACCAGATGAAATAATCCGATGACCAATAAAGTCAGTTATAATTGTTGGCGATCACACAAATAGTTCAGTTTACGTACATTTCAGTAGCAATCTCATAATCACATTATCAGCTTTTTGATAAAAGTCAGATGTAGAAATTAAGTTATATGTCTTTTGTTAAGTAAAGAATTAAATTAATTTCGAATAGAATTTGCTCTTTTTGTTCAAATATTAAACAGTATTTAAATCGGTAATCATCATAAGTATGTGTATCAGTAACAATAATATTCACTGAGAGTAATTGTTTTCGATAAATGAATGGAAATCACCAGTTTCATATGCTATTTTTTCTATTCGCATACCATAGTTCCTTTTACAAGAATAAGAGATGAGCTTTATCATACATACACATATTTTAGAAGTAGACAAAAATTGTTTAAAATACAATTAGATATTTATACGAAAGCAGTTGACTGAGACAAAATAAATTTATCTGCTTACTCGATACAATTTTTCTACACCTAAATTAGTACTTTTCCATGATCATTGAGATAGTTCAGACTGAAATTGATATATGAACTTAATATTGCACCGGGAAAAAATTATGTGATGACCATCTTCCAAAAGAATGGCTATCTACGAAACTTCGTCAAAAAATATCAACTGAGACCTCCAACTGAAGCGAAATGAAGTACGGGATCCAACAAATGAATCATCCAACCTCATATTAGAGACAAATTACAGAATGACTACTGAAACCATTCAGAATAGGTGTATCACATGAAATAACAGAATCATTTCAATCAATCCTACGTAGATCAAGGGACAAAATGACAATGGAGAAAAACCAAATATCACCTACAAAATAAACTGTTCAGTCTTTGAAAAAATCTACTTCGGACGAAGTGACGTCTTCTTCAACTTCGTATTCATGAACAGAAATTAGCAGTCAAATGTCATAACATTTCTCCCCTTGTATCAATACATACGGACAACTATGCACATTTCTTTCGATTGTAACAATGTTGAAACACTAGATAAAGAGAATACAAAGAACAATGGAAATTTTACAAACTCGGCAAGCAACAAGCATGTCGACATCGACCCATTTTATCAACCAGTCGGAAAAATCATAGACAAACATTGGATCAAGAAACAGATCAAGAAGGGATTCAATCACAATAAAGGTGCTAATGACGACAGGTTTAATGTCAATACCAACCAATCAAGATCGAAGTTAACAAAACAGGCTACTGGTCAAACGTGGAGAAATTCGAATACTTCATTTCTGTCTTAAGTCTGTGCTGACAGTGTTGTTGAGAAGAACAATGCGACCTTCGCAACTAAAACATCCGGCTCAGAGAACGAACTTCGACCACAATCATTCACCTGACCTCCAAATTTCTTTCACCATCTGTACCTGGACACAGTTGTTGCTGGATAGTTATTTCAAATAACACCATTTTTAAAAAATATTCTAATGACGTTTATAAGAGGTTCTTAATCAGCTTTTATATCAAACTTACCAGAAATTACATGTAAAGTAAATAGCATAATTAGTTTCTAGCCATAGGTTTGCTACATAGCTTTATCTATAATCAAATTATTATGTGAGAAAACTTAATCATACATTAAATCATATATAGTTACGCTGAGCAGATTAAAGGTTTTTTAGTCCCTACTAAATACGCCTTGTTGACAAGTACATGCTAGATAAAAATTCATCCTGGAGCTCCCTAAATAATTTCTCGAAGACAGTGTGCAGACAAAACACTATTTCGATTCCTTCGAAAAACTTCTCTTATCCCCAAGAATCTAAGTGACTCAACGACCACGTACTAAATACCCGCTCGTATGATATTCACTTTTGCTCATTAAACAATTCTAATAAATTTTTCAGTTATACAGGAGGTCATGATCATTATGAATGACCCAATGTTTACCTCTCTGATTTTGACGATTACTGACGTAGGTTGTTCGAATTTCTGGGTAACGTCAGTTTTCCTCCAGATTGCAAAGTTCTCATGCAGATGAATGTTAACTAGCATGACTTCCTCTTGATTAATTTCAACCATTTGAAATTTTAATGTCTATTGCCGCTAATTCGTGAATTATGTATCTATAAATGATATTGCTTGAACGATTAAATATTAGGTTGATTAATTTCTCAACAAATTATAAATAGCTCTCAAAGTTACACTGAAATTAAAAATTTTGACAAACCGAACAAAAATTTGAAGCTCGAAATTAAGTCTCTATTAGTATTGGTTACCTGAGATATAATATCTAAATGAATTCAGTTAACTATGTCGAATTGCCATTCCGTAATCAATCATTTGTAGGTACTCTTTCATCGAGAAATTCAAATTTTAGGTCCCTATTTAGTGTGTTATTTGGCTGTCTGTAAGTGAAACTAGGTTTACTGTTGTCCGACACTTTACGTCAAGATGTATCAGCAGTTTTGAAGAGAATGGTAAACTAGATTGGATTGGAATTGACATTGCATTTAGAAACGTTAGGACTGAGTATGGTGAGACATTTGAGGATATCAAGCACACTCTGTTCATTTCTAGGGTTAAAGCTTATCATTACTATTTCATGTTGTTATTTTCACCTTGAGAAAATGACCACCAGTGATATGAAACCAAGCCTTGATAAGCAGATAATGTTGATATTATGGTACTTATATAGTGTCAAAATAGATTTCGCAGCACAGAGCTTCCTTATTCGCATTCGAATAGTGAAACTTTGAAATATCTGTTACTACATTTTTTTATACCATTCTTGACAGATGGAAAAAACGAATTCATTTTATATGACAAACCTAGCTGTTCGATTTATTCTTACATTTTTGAAAGGTCCTGGGTTCGAATCCTGCTGGGTGCAGGAGTGGGGGAAGCGCACTGCTGAGGAGTCCCATACCGGGACGAAACAGCTCTTCAGTGCTTATAGGGTTCTAATGGTGATCTAACATTGATCGATTCATGGTTTCAAAAATTTGTAACTTAACAATCTTCAAAACCCCGCAGTGCATATTCTTACATTGTCAAAAAAATTTAATTTTCGGTAATTAGCAGTATAACAAGAATGAATAATATGGTTTTGATGTACATTATTGTATCGTTTAATTCATCTCAAATTAACCAAATAATAAATAAGAAGAAATCTTCAAAAGGAACAGGAAAACCACTTAAATAAGCAATTTTTATCTTCCACAATCCTATTTGACCATGAAAATTAAATCTTTGATATGATGTAATAGTTAAGAGTAGCTTTTGTTGAACATTCGCAACATCCATGTAGCATAATTTAACATTGAAATTTCAGTTTTCTGGTTTTCATTAATTTACATTTCAAATTTGTTTTGTAAACAAGAAAATTTATCATTTTTAATATTGTCAAATATATATTTCAAATGGATCAACTCATACTAGTAAAACTAAATTTATGAATAATAGTTATTATCGTTTTCAAGCTAATTCAACTAATCGTTAATAGTGTTTTAAGATATTCACAAATAATTCATAATTTATTTTAACTTTTAAAACTGTCAATTATAAATAATTTTAACAAATTGAAGATTATCATTTTTCAACAAAACATTTCTGACTAGAATAGTATAATGAATATGCATATGTTTATATATAAAGTGAAAAGATTTTTAATTCAATAAAATCAAATCTAACTACTTAAAGTTTACGAGGAATTTTCAAAGGTTTTTATTCAAATCTTTTGAAGATATTACATAAAACACTTTAACAGAAATAGTATTTATTGATATTTAAGAAAATATATCCAATAAACTCCATTGAATATAGCAAATACTATCGGATAAATAATAGACCATATACGATCTAATAAAAATGATTTATCAAGAGTTTTATCTTTTGATGACTGTTGACTGTCATCGCAGAATACAATGCGTTTTTGTTTGCTTAATGGAAGATCGAAATTCAGAAGCATAGATCGTACTGGAGTACTAGTTGAAGAAATGTTGGTAGATGTTTTACATGTATCATTGTTATTTTTCAATGTTTTTTGATCTGTTTGGTCGTCATTACTTTTTGCTTTATTAATGCACTTTTGTAGTAAGTCCAATAGTTCATCAGATGTTGTTAAAATCATACAATCTTTACTAATATAATTTGCTGCTTTCGAAACACTTGATTTCGATCGTCGTCTAGCTAGAGAATTTGTAATGGCGAACTCAAGCAATGAACTAACAACAAACGCTAAACATACAAATAACCAAATATCAATTCCTTTAATATAAGAAACACGTGGTACTTGAGTTAGAATAGCTGCACTTTGTGTGATCAAAGCTAAAACACACAAAAGACCAATGGAAATACGAGCTGGTACAGCTTCGTAATCCACAAAAAATGATAACCATGCAATAACAACCAAAAGAAGTGACGGTAGATAAGCATAAATAAGGTAAAAACCAAATCGTCTCTTTAAATGGAATACAGCTTCAATACAAGAGAATTGACCAGTAGTGGAGTATTCCATTTTGCAATAACTTGTATCATAAGATAATAAATCGAATTCATTAATTTCTAGTCCAGATCGTATTTGTACAGCCATAGATCTTGACTGGTTTGTTGTAGGTATTAAGCCAAATTGATCGTATCCATCTCTGTTCCACCAACGAAATTCTAAATCTCTCTTTGAATATCCATAACTCCCAATATTTATTGTACAACGTTGTGAATCAAATGGAAATGTATGCAAAATCATATGGCATGATAATTTCATTGATATTTTCTGACTGAATGTAATCAAACCATTTGAATCAAGCCAAATCAAATAGTTTGGTGTGGTCATGTCATGTAAAAATCCATGTTTAGCATTACGAAAAAACAGATCCGGTATCCAAATTAGATTTTTAGCATAGGAGATAGGCAGGTGAGTAAAGTTGTGGCTACCGGGAAGTTTCAGTCTTGAATCTAACCATCTTTGACGTAACATAAAATCAACTGTAAAATCCATATTAACTACACTAATTGAACTGAAGCTATGTATAAAAGTATTAACTTCTACAATTAATGGTCCATTATATTTTGTGTAATTCACTGACTCTTGTGAATTAATGCTTGTTTTAATCAATTGTGAATTTCTAGGTCGTTCAGTAGGAATATAAGTAGATAATAAATTTTGTATTTCCGTTTCTAAACTTCTACTTTTCAATGTTACATTTTCTGTCAAGTTACATTCTTCTTTTATTAAACTATTCTCTAAATACTGAGCGGAACTAAAAGAAACCAAAATCTGATTTATAAATGCAAATGTTAACAGATTATGAAGCATTTTTATGAATCTTGAAAAAAAGAAGTTCGGTGGAAAAAGGAATTGCGGATGTTAACCGTTTAAATAAACTCCATTGAATTTCTCCTAAGAAAAAATGAACAACAAAATTAATTTGAGAAATTTTATTCGAAAAAAACAAATTAAGTGATTTATCGAGCAAGGTTTGGATGTAAATTAGCGTGGTTTTAACAGCTGTTAGCAACTGAACTGAAAAATCTCAGTTAAAATTTGTGTAGAATTTTTCTTATTTTTCGCAAAACTCGTTATCATTAAATGAAAATAAAATCAGTTTTATTCTCATCTAAAGAGTACTGATGGTTTCTTACATTGTTTCTACAAGACCTATTTAGATTTCAAATTTATTATGCTGTTCTTATTATTTTCATTGAATTGTCGTCGAAATCTTTCATTCAATAAAGGTTGTACAATAATTAATTAATTTTGTCCAAGCAATGTTATTTTATTATTGGACTGAGTTTTCTAATTTTTCATTGCTGAACAGATTTTCATCGGTCTATGTTGGCATGTGAGTTTTTAAATGAGTGCTATAACAATTATTATGACTTCTAAATGGAGTATAAGACACTAGTTTCGACCTTATAGCAGTTCCTTGTATGGATGTTAATAGAATCTAATGAAACCCACATGTTGAATTCCATTGTGAAGAACTTAAAAAAGCTAACTAGTAAATTGGTTTCCTTAGAAAAAAGAAAATTATATACTCCAGTAAAAAACGGCCACTCAGAAGAATATTTTAGCGAAAGTTAAATATCATAGAAATTACATAATCCATAACATAACTATTGTGCAGTTTATAAATAATTTACGATATCAATCTGTATTAATCACCAGTGGATATTTGTGCTGAAGATGTATCTTATACAACCCAAACGTTTTTTAAGCAACACACTTAGATATTCAGATCCAGTGTAACGCGAAATCGGACACTACTCAAAAAAGTAAACCGTTCATTAATTTTAACTAATAAATGATTTTTCTGGTTAGCGATTTTTTTTATAAGTATTCATGGATTTGTTCATCTTATTCATTTTAACAAATAAACTTCGGAAAACCGAATAAATAAATCAAGCTTTTGTTATTTCCCCTTTTCTCTAGCTTAATCAAATTAATGCAATCACGATATACCTAATTTTGTCTTTCCTGTTTTTTTCATTATTGTATCATAACAAAATATTTGTTGTTCATAAATATATTGAACAAGCAAAGACATAAATGAAGTCAGACAATTATTCAAGACAGAATCATGACAAATTTTCAATTTCAACGGATATTTTCACAAATTCATAAAATACAGAAAATGTTTTCGCTCAAAAAAACGATTTTTAAATCGAAATTCATAAAATGCATTTCACAAATCAGTCACTCGTGTTAAAAATGTTAGTCATCATCTAGTTTTTAATTTAATCTGAGGAATTACTCAAATTTTAATGAAACTGGATATCTCATCAGTTATTGGACCAAAACATTCGCATTGTCTGCTTGTAGTTTTATTGTGATCAGCAATTCTGTGACTGAAAAAAGATATTTCAGGTTAAAGGTATTTTTGTGCGAATATACATAAAGTGATAGACCGAAGAAAAAATAACTTTAATCATTATTCTTGACGGCTCGACGGTACTTGATTGAAGCTCATCAGAAACTACTCCGTAATACAATTGGCCTAGCTTTTGTTTTGCAGTATGCTGTAAACAGCATTAAAACAAAACATTTCACTAAAGTATTATGATAAAAATTAAAAGATAACTATTTTCAACACAACTCATGATTCACAATCTTATCGAAAAGATCACATGTTAGTGGATTCACAAGAACATACACTTTTTCTAAACATGTGTAAAATCAATATGAATACAAAGATAAAAAGGTTGATGTGAAAAAGTAAATGTCTAATAATGATTTCATTGATGCATCTGAACTTCAATTTGAAAACTTGAATATTTCATGAAATTATTTTCGATGTATTATTAAAAGTGATATTTTCCAAACTCAAAAAAATCCCTAATATTCATTATACATTTTGTGTACAGTTATCATAAAGCACTCTATCTGTATAGTTCCTTTTTGCTTATAAACTTTGAAACTCATCCTTAAAACTAAACAGTTTCGAAGTAAACTGAAATGTACGACTGCGTAAACTTTTAGGTCCTTTTTTAAGAATGTACTAATATTAGAATATACCTATCAGTTTTAGATTTAGTCAAACTATATAACAGTAAATGCTAAACATATAAATTCATTAGAGTTTATAAAAACCTTGCAATTTATTGCGATGTTGAATACTAGAAGCTTCAAACAGAGACATTTTAGTTATTGGCATAGTTTGTTCTTCAATCTTAATATTTATGGACAAATACAGTTTGAATGTGTTCTAAGAAATCTCTCACAATATGCAACGATTGCTGCTCAAAATTCTTTTTTTTGTAGTCAATTATATAATAATAGACGTAGGAGTTATTATAACTATTTTGGTTTCCAAACTATACACAATAAATTTCATCTTTAGTAGAATAATTTGATAAGCTTAATTTAATTTGAGACTATTACTTTTTCCTTTACTGCTATCAGATGAATAATCATTCAAAAGTAAAGAACATTGAACATTTGTTGTATTCTGGATTCGAACTAAGTAGAAAAGTTTCAGGTAGATCTCAAAACTCATCTAGTCTAGTATTATCAAGTCTCGATGCTTACATGATAACTATGAAAGAGTTTTTCAAATATATATACTACTAATAACAACAATATAATAGATGTAGAAACACAAGAAAACTGAACAATGAAGATTTTCACGTAATAATTTGTCCGATCATCATTAAGATGAAGACTTGTTTACAAAGAATTTGACTGTATAAAAGAAAATATTATGATAAACTAATAACAGAAGTTATGAAGTAACAGATTAGTTAAAAAAACTTTCCAGACTCATTTTGCATGTTGTTTAAGGCAAACTAGAAGATTAACTTAGCTGTAGAATGAGTTAATCTATAACGCGTATTGAATCTCAAACTATTTCTGCTTATTTTAGAAATTAGTAGAAGTAGGAGTCTTAGACCGGTCGAAAGAAGCCATTATTTATTAAACTAAAATTCAACGGTGATGCGGCCTGCGATACTCTGCAGGACAGATTAACGAAAGTAATTAGTAGAATACTCTACACAGCCAGACTTGCGTTCACCTCCTGAAGTCGACCGGCGATGTCTACCCAAACGAAGGATAAGTTACCTAAGTTGACCTCCTCTATGTGCATTTACGAATTCAGCTGCTCCTGCGGAGATAGCTATATCGGGCGTACTACCAGGCAAATTAACCAACGAATGAGTGAACACCACCCAGCATTATTTATGAAGGGCCAGTTAAAAACAATATGCAGTTCTATCTTAGCCTATTTGGTTGATAGTGGTCATGTTTTAGATATGTCTAGATCTTTTTGAGTGATCTATCATATACCTCCATCATTTCCCGACGAGTGCTGATCCCATCTCCTACACATAGCAGAAGCCATAGAAATTCGTACATTTAATCCCAATTTATGTGTTCCGAAGAACTTTGTGATAATTCTATCGCTTCCATGGCCGGATAAGACTTAACCAACGTTTAATAAAAAAATTTTTAATTTTTATTTTGTTATTGCTAGCATGATTTTCACATCCAGTAGTTTTCTGCCTCTTCCCGTTTGTATTCTTCACTATCTAATTAGGTGCACACTTTTTATTACGTAATGGTTTCAATATTTTGCAATGATTATTTTAAGTCTATTTATCCACCTTTGAACTAATACTGATAAAACATTTGTCATCGTATTTTAAAATTTATGCAAATTAAAAGTATTCTGTAAAAAATATTTCATAAGATGACGGCAGTATTGAAGCATGCATAAATTGATGTCTAGGCATAGATCTTTATAATACTTAGTATAGTAATATGGATGACTTTTTTGTAAACCAATCTGAATGTACAGATTTTGGCTAACTTCAATTAAATCTAGCAGCTTTAGTGATATAGAAAAAGTTCCGCTTTTTGGGGGCATTATATAAATTCGTAAAACCTTTTATTTCTACAATACGTGTGCCGAAAAATCATAGTTGATTTCTCTATATACTTGAATGAAAATATGTTTACAAATGTCATGGAAGATTCACAGATATGTTTGATATTTTTAACGATCACAGCCAATTGTGTATGATTACCAATCGACAGAAGGAATATTCACAGTCCATAATTTCAAAATTTTAAAGGGGTATCACTAATTAAACATGCTTGAACTCAAACTTCCCTAAACGTACAATAAATGAAGTGTTAAAGAGCCAAGCGTCATCAAATCTGCGAGCTTTATTCAATTCAGTCATTTTATAAAAATCTTCTGTGTAAAAGATGAAAAGGCTTCGAATTATTATTATTATTATTATTATTATTATTAGGCTATCAGCACTGATGAGACTCACTAGATAAGCGAAGCGGTCGGTGCGTTCGACAACTTCACTCCCTATCACTAGTTCAGGTGCCGATTCAACCAAATCTTGAAGCAGCATGTGGCATTTCGATGGGAAGGATCACATTCCGAACACGCTTGCATTGTTGATTAGGGTAGTCAGAAGACTCTGCATTTAGTGAACGTAGTCGTCACAAAATTGAGCAGTGTCGGCATATTCTAAGTCAACCAGTGAATCTCCAGGTAGAAGGTCAACTCCTAAAACGTCAGACGAAATTAATGTTATATCTGGAAGCAGGTCTATGACAAAGTTAAGCAAGAATGGAGAGAGTGGACAGCCCTGCCGGACACCAGTTGAAGTAATGAATTCCGATAACAGTTTGCCACAAGCTCTTCCTCGAACAGATAGCTTATTTAAGGTTAATGCACTTCTTTGTTAGACATTTTAATGACGGGCTCTGCCACAGGACCTCGCGATCTGCAGAGACAAGTGCCGCTTTAAGGTTAAGAATTACTACAATTTTGGGGCGTTTCAACGTGTGTCTATATACTAGGCCCTGGCGTAGTGTGAATATTTGGTCTATACATACAATCAGTGATTGAGACCGGTCACATGGGATTACGTCCAATTCCCATATTCTACCTAGGATCTCAGTCAATCAAACTGTTAAAACTTGACCACCATCCTTAAAAATATGCAGGGTAAGCCTGTCATGCTCTGAACCTCTACCTCGCTTCACATCTCCTATAGCTTTCCAAGCGTCTATCAGTTCGGTGGATGCTACTGAGATCCATCACTTCTCCCTGACCTTATGGTTTACCTTCCTGGCAGAGATCATTGCTGCATCCACAGATTTTTCGATATCATTCCAAGCCACCTCAAAGTAGGAATCACTCACATCGTAGCCTCACTGTTTCTCTAACTGTTCCTGAAATATATCCCTAGCTTTACTATCAATAAGTAGAATCCCAAGAGGTTTCCGTGCGATATTTTTCTTACGTCCAGTGAGCCTCAAACAAATACGCATGATCTGAATCTCATCAGGTGCTTGAGAGTGAGTGACAGCCCTCTATCAAATCCCTCCGTCGACGTCTGACAGCAATCTGATATAGTTGTGTTCACTATTACGATGTCTTTGGGGGTCGCCAGGTCAAGAGATGTTTTCCCTCGTGCTTAAAGTTAGTGTTTGCTAGAAATAGGCGATTATCTGAGCATCGCTGCAGCAGATGATCGCCACTGTCTGGTCTTTGAGCCACGACACTATAACACCCAGATGTCCTTCCTTTACATTTAGTCTATCTACTTGAGCGTTGAAGTCAACAGGCAATATTACTATTTCACAGAGCCTAACTTTTTGTAGGAGTTCCGGAAGCCTTCTGTAAAACTCATCTTTTACCCCATATGAACTGCAGTCAGTGTGAGCTTAGGCAGCTACAACAAAGAGGCAACGGTGAGTTTCCCTATCTTTCTTAGTCCATACAGTCCTGATGAGCGCACAAGAGACTATCTACTGGAGAGATAGTTTTTCTCTAGGGCCCAATGCTACACCTACACCAGAGAGTCCACGGGAAGCTGCTGCAGGGCTTTCAGATATGTAAAGAGTAAATGGAGCTGCTTCTTAATTTGACATGGTGAGGTCAAGTGAATGACGCTACTCGTATCCGGGATGCGAGTTTCGGAGACGCAGCATACACTGATGGCGCGAGATTCTAAAGTCCCCGCTAAGGAAGCATGTTGTCCTTTTTGACACAATGTCCGGACATTAAAAGCTCCAAAATTTAGTTTAGAGCGTGGTTTCAGGAGACCAGGAATATTGTTTTGTTAGCTAGGATCGTTTGCATTAGCGGTGAAGGGTGTTAAAGGGATGTAAGAAGGCTGAGTCAGGAAGATAAACGAATATTATGGGGTGTAGTAAGAATTTGATTAAGACCGATTCGGTCTCCTGTGCAGTTACGGGTATGAGGGTGAATGTCACTTCCCGGTTGCCAACACTGTGAAAGGGTGCTTCTTCAAGAACCCTAAAAAAAAGTTGGACTAGCGTTGATCTTAGAGTTCTGGGAGCGTGACCGCAGAGCCCAAGGGACAACTGCTTGAGGCCGGCCACACACAATCTTTTTATGAGTTTTTGAAGTGACAGCTCTGCTCTTGTTAAAAAGGCCTTACCTTCGGAAAAGGAAATCCCTTAGGTATGGTTGTGTGTGACATGTTTTGTATCTACCTTTCCTACCACCTTTCTCCCTTGTGAGTAGAGAGCATCGCTACAGATGTTGGCTGTCAGGGGGAAACACATTACTGTCATCACACCCATATACAGTCAGCAGTACGACTTCATCCTCAGACCTTGAGTAGTTGTTTTAGTCTCATCGCTCTCCAATCAACCTTCATGGAATGGTAGAACCTACAGGAATATATGTTCCAGCCAATGTAGTTCAGTTTGGTCATCACGATGGACAATCCCGACCACCACGTCAAGGCAGCAGCTACGGTCGGGTACTATAATGGAGTGAATTACCGAAATATGGTCTGTTTACTGTTGGAATGAACATCTAACAGTAAGGTTGGATCGAAAGCAATTTTCATACTGCTGATGTAACCTTTAAATTTAAAAGACTTATTTAGTACCACTGCAGGATTTAATTCCAGATACTAAGTATAATTACAAGTGACGAACTACCTGTAAAAATTACGTGAATGGATGCAAACAATTTAAACTAAATTCACTTTTCAGCCTTTTTTTAATTATTTCAGTCATCTAAAGACTCTGAAAATGTATTTCTATGCATATTTTTTCACGTTACATTGACAGTTATGACGAAGTACTAATATTTGGTAAAGAAACAGTATGAAAAAATCTGTTAAAATCAAAACAATAAGAAAACTATCGACTTAGACATATAGTTTTGATATTTTATGCAAATAGGCTACAGATTATTTTTGTAAGATAATTTGTTTTATAGTTTAAATCGTTTAGAAAAACATTGAGTTGTAATTTATTGATTTGATTTTCGGCTCACTTATTAAATGGCTATGGATTAAAACTAGCATAAAATCAACACTTTACGATCAATATTGATTCGGTGATGGCACATTGAGTTAGAGAATTTAAATTAGATTATTAATTTTATTAACAATTACTATTCGTCGGGCTTCATAACTTTCGCTATTCTTCCTTTTATGTAATAAATTATGGGTGAATCAAGGATTATTCAATGTAATTTATCATAACCTTTAAACTAAACTTCAGTTGACTTGTAATCATCTGACTTTAAAAAGATGGCATGATTTAATTAGAACCTATGCAAATTAGATTAAATGAATATAACAAAGCGCCCTCAACAGCAGATGAATATGAAGTGACCACACAAATAGTTTGAGTATTGAATAGCTCAAAAATAGTAAGCTGGTAACGTCAATCAGATATGAGAAAGATTTTCTGGAAATCTAGGAAAATAAATTCGACAAACAATAATGTAGTACTATTGGTATAGTGTTGCTTTTTGAGTTGTAATGTTTACAAAATTCAAGTGGGCTTAATCTTTACTTCCAAAAATAATGAACAGTTGTCATGGTCTTTACGTTTGTTTGCGTGAATAGTGTTCAACCTTCAGACTAGTATAAACTTGTTTGCTTAAATGAAAATTAAAACATAACAAGTAACTTACCAGTAGTATCTAATCAAAATATAGAGAATTTACTTATTCCGCAAATTATGTTTCTTTAATCAGTTGACAAATCAAAGTATATTAATGCATAAAAAGCTCAGCATTGCCTAACTGCGTGTAAATAATGAGATAACTGTAAGCAGTGAATCGGATCGAAGTGGCAGTTTTCGTTAAAGAGTTGTAGAGCAGTTACTTGGTGAGGACAATGGACTGATTGACGTTAGACATTAACACCATTGGAGTTCGGCTCAGTGATCTAGAGACGTAAGGTCCTTGGTTCGAACCCCGCATACTGGCGTTGTGGATTTCCACAGTTGACGGGACCTACACTAAGATAAAATGGCCGACTGTATCAATGCATGATTTCAATCTTAGTGTTAGTATTGAAACAAATATTATTTTATGAAGTATTTAAAGGCTTTCTAAGTTGTACAGGTTTAGTCAAAATTAAAAGAATTTTATCTCAACAGTTAGCATTTTACTCTCGAAATGTCCGAAACTATTATGATACTGCTTTTTAAAATGTTAGCTGCTTAAAAATGTTAACATACAAAATCTGTTGAGACCCTTTGCATTACAAGAAAGAGATTAAATAACAGATAAGATTAGGTAACCGTTTCACTCTAGTTTGAATCCTCAGCAATGCACATCCACAATCTCAGTAAAGGTACTTTAATTTCACGTTTAAACATCGATAGTACCGCGCTTAGTTTAAAAAATAGTTTCCTGTCTTCTGAAACCCATGATGTAAAATAGCTTAGACTGTTATGTGCACCTTCTATGGACAAAGTTGTTTTGTTTTTTCCTATATCAAAACACATTTATTGATGTAGTCATGACATCTGGTTAGTATTTGTATGTATGATGAAAACTATATTGTTATGAAATCTACTTTTACTATCAAGGATACATAATCACTAATGCAGTGCTATAAAATCGTTTTGCTTAGACATGTAAATTCTCTATAAAATTTATTGATTAACACTGTTAGCGATGTTTGCTAAACTATTTGCAATAACCTAGAAATATTTTCAGAAAGTGCAAACAGAAATTCATTAGTATCATCATTATTATTAGAGTGTTTTCACTAGAATCAACCTGATTATTTCTGGCAGCTGGCGGATATTCTGTTCTAATGTCCTGAATGTTAGATATCTTCAACTTTATGTTTCATGTATGTACAAAAAATAGTCACTGAATACTTCAGAATTTCAATGACATCCTAGTTGAAATCTAAAACTTAGTGACAGACTCATTATTAGATCACTATTTCTAAAAATATCATATTACGGTACAATGAATTTTATGACAAAAATTTTATTGTATCTTAGAATTACAGCCATTTTAATTATTTAGTGAAATATTTCATTTGTGTGAAATAATTAATAATTTCTTGTTTAATAAAAAAAGATTTAAATATAATACTATAAACATTGTTCATTTTAAGTGAAGTTTGATAATAGTTTCTTAAGACTCATCAGCAAGGTGTACCAGCATTCCAGTGTCATTACTCACACATTGATTTGAACGCAGTACTACTTATTTCAAACGTTAAGAGCATTATTTTCTTAGGTAAGTAGTTTAATTGAATCACTATTCTTCTGCAACTGCCAGTAAGTATGCAGAGTTATAGTATTGTTTCCTTTTGTACTGATATAACTTTTGAATAAAATTTTTTCCAACTCATTTCAATATAACAAGTAAAATGCGGAGAAACCGAGAGAAATAATTATTATATATGTAACAAGTTGACAGTGTTTTATTGTTAACATTTCGAAAAAGTTATGTCAAAAAGTCAGTATTATGTGCGTAAAATTTATTCATTACAATTTATTAAGACTTAAAAAAAATCACATCTTTTCTTGTTAGATTCATTATTAGCTCAAATTGCTCAATTTTTACTTCATAGTTGAATCAAATTAATATAAACATATTTAGTGATATAAATGAAGTTTGAAAAAAGCAAGAGCAAGGTGGAAGCCAATGCAAATGATATTCAGTTGGATATTTTATAAATAAATTAGACATTTTTTTATATCTAATGCAACAAACACTAGAGGATCAAAGGTATTGTATCTTGTCTCGATCATAATTTATTGGCAAGTTTGTTCATTTACTTACTTAAACACATACATACCCTAAGCTTCAAGACATCGTATTATTGAATTGAGATATTATTCTTTCCCAAAATGATATTGATTGATAATAACATCTTATTCAATGTTTATTTCTATTCGCATCATACGTATTGATACTTATTTTTATTTACTAATGAATATAATCCATTCTATAAGTTTATGTTATTAACACAACTATTTTCATAAATAAAGTAGCTGGTAAGAAACAATTAAACAGAATAACAATGAATTCATGTTAGTTTACCTAAGTTATCATCACTGATTTTTCCCCTATTGGTTACTTATTTCATTTATTTTTGAGCATATTCTATATATCTCAGTAGTTTTTGTGGGACGATTGTATTAGAAAAACTAGTAACGTACTGTCTATAATATAAATTCAAACCTCACGTTTGAAATAAACAATTTTTTTTATTAAAATGCTTTGAAAAAATGCATATAGTCATAATAATCAACTTTCTAGGTTTTACTAACTTAGTCTGTGATAACCAATTTATTCAAAATTAAAATTAATCGCAAGGAAGGACTCTAACTAAGCTGACATCGAGATTGTGTTCAACGATTTATCTGTCAGAAATTGTTAAGTCAATTTATCGACTAAATGATGAGACTTTATTTCATATAGTTGTTAAATTGAATACTAGATAGATTATGTTTTCTAGAAAGCATCTTCCTGTATATAGATGAATAATTGATATGAATGTTTCTGAGGTCTAATTAATTTCCTCTTGTCACATGATATTTCCTCTATTTTACTATATCTATATATATATTCATCACTCATGGTCGGAATCATGCACCGTGTATTACACGTAAACTAAATTCCTAAAAAAGTTGAATTATTCTCTTTTTTTCTCTAATTAGTTAGCTTTTTTTATTGTAGAATTTAATTAAAATTGAAGTGAATCATAAAAGAAATATGTAGGTATAATGATTTACAAACAACAGTTAAAAATCACTAATTAATTTCCAATGCGTATCGCCATAAAATAAAATGGATTTTTTTCACGTAAACAACTGTTTGCTGTTTCAACCATATATTATGATGAATAATAAAGAATGAGATACAAGTTAATGAAGCTGACGCGCGCAAGTCACCATATTTTTCTTTTTGATAATGAACATCGGATTCGTGTTCATTTTTTTGAACATAATATGAAGTAGAGTTGAGATTAGATCTGGTAAAGGGAGAATATTTCTTAATTTTGATATGATGCCTTGGAAAAATTCTTTCCTTGTTCAAGTACTACTGAGTTATTTTACGAAAAGATCAGTAGGATAAGACAGATCCGTTTATAACCGACTTTCAATTTTATTCACTAATTTCTCACTCTCACTTGTCCAGTTAATGATTTGAAAGAGACATGAACAAGCTTCACGATACATAAATTATTAAGTGATTGATTGTGAAAAAATGCAGTTTTATTAGCAAAAGCTTTTTTAATATATCTTTCTTGTTTAAACATGCTTTCGCCTATTAGAAAAAACAAACACTACTTCTACTAAAACAGTGATAAAGTGATTTTAAAAAGAATGCATGCAAGACAATGGATGAAGTCGTGCAAGACCGTGAACCGGTTGACGTCAGGCATTTACATCGTTAGATACCGGCTCACTGGCCCACAGGTTAGTCGTTTGCTTGTAAGACTGAAGGTCTTGGGTTTGAATCCTACGAGCTGCTGGAGCCGTAGACGCTCACTGCTGAAGTCCCATACTAGGACGAAACAGACGTCCAGTACTTGCAGGTTTCTAATGATGGTCTGACATTGATCGATTATTGATTTCAAAAAGTAACTCAACAATCTCCACAACCCTATCATACAAATAATTATATGTTATTTTATTCTGAATATCCTAATAAACAAGAATTGTTTTGTTTTATATATTACTCACATAAAAATATATTGCTTACGAAAAGTTGTGGAAAGATATTCTCTTGATATTTGGTTTCAACAACAATTATAGTTCTAAAATATATTAGTGTGTATACATTGTATAGATATAAATACGATCTATTTTATCTCATAATCCTTATGGCCACCGTTAAGCTACGGTAATAAACCATACTTTGAATCCTCTCTTTGCGCCTGTAAAACAAGTTTGATTAAAATTCTAGAAAGTTAAAAATGTGGATAAAAGCATAGATATATTAATGCTACATTTTATGACATTATGAATCAACCAAACCATTTTATACAAGATACTTTGTGCATATCACTGTAATCTTTTGTTTTCTATAAAACTGTTCACTAAAGAATGTTTGATGTTAGATTTTTATGCTCAGTTTATTTATATTTTCTGAATTTAACAGTAAGTAGTACCATCTATTGAAGTATGGGTTCATTGTTTTCAGTGAGGTTTATACTTCAATATTCACGGACTACTCACTTACTAGATTTGTAGATATATATATATATATATATATATATATATATATATTCATTGGTGTTGATCACGGCTAACTATGAAGTAGACTGAATTCCCTTTCTTCTGTACATTATTTGATTGTTACATTAGTCAGTGAAGCGCTTAGTCTGTTTGATTTTGTACTTTCTGATAAATTTTAGAGATACAAACTTAAATATAGTAGACTAAACTCACTAAATTTTCAACCGGACCGTAAGGCGAGAATTTTATTTTTCACTCAAAGAGTCTACATATCTTTCACATGGCTCTAAGCTATTATTATTATTATGATTTTATTTCGGTTGCTTTTTTGTAGTATGGAAATTATTTTTTCTCACACTCCATTGGTTTTTCTCGCGAGTGTATTGGACATTATTTCATTGCATGTAATCAGGCGAGAAAACACTTTAGTTATCTTCCTCAATTCACATTATAATTATAGCCTATTGAGTTTACTTCTTTACTTCATTTTTATACATCGAGTAAAAGTTACACATAATTATATTGTTATAATTTAATTTGTATGAACTGATATTAAAATTATGCTACTACATTATTATATTTTCTAATTGTTCATACGTCCTTAAGGAATCAATCCTTAAAATTTCGAGCATATATATATAAAATTGTACGGCTTAACAAGTACTTCACAGAACGTCATGTTCTTAATATTAAGAAGTGAGTAACATGACCAAGAAAGTTTTCCTCAATGTTCAAATTTATTCATGAACTCTGTAGACTACGTATCTTTTCAAGGCACACCATGTATACTAATCACTAATATA